CTCGGCGGGCTCCACGCGCGGCCGCTCCAGCTCCGGTCCAGGCAGGGGAGGCGGGCGGAGCCTTGGGCCACGGGTGACTCCGCCTTCGGGCGGTGGGGGGCGGGCGACCCGGGTCCCGCGACCGCGTGGGTGCATCAATTCTAACCCCCCCAGGCAGTCTGTGATGACAACGAAAATAACAGCAGTCTTTCTGGGCCTGCGGTGTGGGTCAGGCCCGCGGCTGCCTCGCCTTAGTCAGCACAGCCCGATGGGGACGTAGCTCCGCGGCACTTGGGGCTTGCTCCGACTCAGTGGAGTTTCTCCCGGGGCGCTCCCACCCAGGGCCTCCCCTCCCTGTTCAGTCTCGGCTGCAGCAGTCACCCGGGGCGGACCAGGGCCAGGGCTCCCCCTTGGGTTCAAGTCCAGCTCTGACAGCTAGCCGTGCGGCCTGGGAACAGTATTTTCCCTACCCCTGCCATTGGAAAATAGGGAGAACCACCTCTGAGTGTTGCAGGGATTGAGATTGTTACTTTTTTAAAAAGTATTTATTCTATTTTATGATTATTATTATTTTAAAATTTAGTGTAAAACATGTGTGTTCACCAGAGGAGAGACATAGAGAGAGGGAAGTGAGAAGGAAGCCGCCAGGTCCGGGACTCAAACTGCAGTCCGCCGTGTGGGAGCCTGGTACCCTGACCACCGCGCCACCTGCTGGCTCCAAGAATGTTACTTCTCATAACAGGGAGGCATTCATGATGTATGTAACAGTGAAAACAGCAGTAGCCATGGCTAGGGGACTGGTTAAATAAACCAAGGGGCCAGCAGGCAGCATGATGGTCAAGGTGCTGGACTCCCACGTGGTTAGCCACAGTCAGAGAAGGAACCATACTGTCACATGCATGTGCTTATCCAAAATCTCAAGGCGACAAGGGATTGTGGTATGGCTATCCTCCCAGGGGTGAGTTTTCACTTTCCCTCTCTCTCTCTCTCTCTTTTTGGAGAGGTTTTTGCTATCAGGCGTGTGCGCTCGTCAGACAGACAGAGAGAGACAGAAAGATAGAAAGCGAGAAATCACCCCCCACAGGGGATGGCCATGCCGCAATCCCTTCTCCTCGGGATCTTGGGCACGCATGCACACGCGCCTGGTGTGAGTTTAAGCCACCGGGTCCAGGATGTGAACTGCGGTCGACTACATGGGAGTCCAGCGACATAGCCATTACGTTAACTGCTGGTCCCCACTTTCCCTCTCTCTTTCTCTTCAGAGACCCCATGTGCTCTATGGCAAAAACCTAAATAACAATCATAATAAACAAAAAAAGCAAGGCCCAGCCTGCCCGAGGGCAGTATAAAGCTATTATAATGAGGAATGCACCAGGGCCAGCAGATGGTATAACGGTTAGGTTGCAGAACTACCATGCAGCAAGCCACAGTTTGAATTCCAAACCTGGAGGCTTGAAACACTGGGCGCAGGTGCAGGCATGCCCCAAATCCTGAGGAGAATGGAGGAGAGAATGGAGAAGGGACTGCCGTGTGGCCATTTCTCTAGGGTGTGATTTCTCACTTTCTGTCTCTCTGTCTCGCCAGCAAGCTCAGCTCACAAGCCCTATGGAAAAAAATCTCTCAAAAATAGTTTGGGACCAGCAGATGACATAATGGTTACATTGCTGGACTCCCATGTAGTTGACTATGGTTCAAGTCCCAGGCCCGATGGCTTAAAACATGCCGGGCCCGTGTGTGTGCGTGTCCAAGATCCTAAGAGGAGAATGGAGAAGGGATTGTGGCATGGCCATCCCTCCTGAGAGGTGATTTCTCGCTTTCTGTCTCTCTGGTGAGTGCACTTGCACTATAGCAAAAATCTCTCTCAAAAAAAGAGAATATAAGTTAAAGAACTGCATTTATATAATCACTTTGGAAAACAAAGTTGTAAAACAACATTTGTTCTTCCCACCTGGGTATGTACATTGTAGAGAAGTCCTTGCAGCTGCACACAACGAAGTTCATAGCACCATTACTTGAAATAGGACAAAACTAGAAACAGCCCAAATATCCATCAATGTGAGAATGGAACGTTCTTCAATCAGGGAGCAGTCACACTATGGAATATTACAGAGCAGGGTAAATGAATGGGCTATAATTACATGGATAGAGACATGAGTGAAAGGCCAGCCAGTGATGCGGTGTTTCAGGAGGCTGGATCCCGCGTGGCCGACTGGGCGGTCTGAGTCCTGGACCCGGCGGCTTGAAAACTCATGCTGGGCAGTGTGCGTACCCCAGATCCTGAAAGGAGGAGAAGGGATTGTGGCATGATTGACCCAAGCTGCTCTCCAATAGGCCTGCTCCCTGGTGCTGGACCAGGTGCTGGGCACACCCAGTGGCCCTGGCTTGTTCTCGCCCAGGGGAATCCTCCAAGAGTCCCCCCGACACACACTCAGCTTGGGCCGCTCCCTGTAAACGAGCCTGTAACCCAGGCTCCCCACGCCCGCTCTGGGTAGTCTGCAAGGCACTTTGTCTCCTGAACCTCAGTCTCGTCATCTGGGAAATGGGGATTCATGCTCTCATAAGAATAAAAATGTTCTAAAAAGAGAAACAAGAGAGAAGACAAATAAAATTACACAATATATTACACTGTATAAGAGAAAGAGACAGAGAGACAGAAAGTGAGAAATCACCCCCCAGGAGGGGGCGGCCACACCACAATCCTTTCTGCTCCATTCTCCTCTTGGGATCTTGGCACACCAACTGCTGGTCCCTATTTTCCCAAAATTTTAAGGTAATAGTGACACAATTTTAAAATTATAAGAACTTAGGGGACCAGCAGACGGTGTAGTGGTTACATCTCTGGTTTCCCACGTAGTCAATCATGGTTCAAGTCCCAGACCTAGTGACTTAAAACTCACTCCAGGCACTTGTGCATGCGCGCCCAAGATCCCACAAAGAAAATGAAGGAGAAGGGATTGCAATTTCGTCGTCCCCCGTGGGAGGGTGCTTTCTTTCTCTGTTTCCAGAGGGTTCGTGTGCTCAACAGAGAAAGTCAGAGAGAGAGGAAAAGCAAGAAAGCACCTCCCATGGGGTCATGCTGCAATCTTTTCTACATTTCCCCCTCCTCTGATGATTTTGGGAATGTTTTTCAAACAACTGGGTCTGAGACTGAAACTATTGTACTGTCGGCCTTGAGGAATCTCGTTTTGTTTTTTTAGAGACTTTTGCCGTAGGGCACATGAAGGCAGGCACAGGGAGAGAGACAGAGAGAGGGATCCTTCATTTTCCTCCTGGGATCTTGGGCATGCACACATACATGCCTGGCATGACTGTCAAGACACCAGGTCCAAGACTTGAACCACTTTCGGCCATGTGGGAGTCCAGAGACATAACTACTACACCATCTGCTGGTCTCCCAAGAACTTGTTTTTAATCTCTAAAAATGGACTGTATATACCGCATAATTTGGGGGAGGGACTTTTAAAAAGGCATGCAGTGGCCAGCAGGTGGCATGATGGCTAAGGCTCTGGACTCCCACATGGCCAACCACAGTTCAAGTCTCGGACCCGGCAGCTTGAAAATCACACTGACACATGTGCGTGTATGCCCAGAAGTCCAAGAGGAGACTGGAGAAGGGATTATGGTGTGGTTGTCCCTCCTGGGGGAGATTTCTCACTGTATCACTCCAAGAATGTATCTGTGTGTATCCAGAACCCTGACAGAATAATGAAGAGGAGATCTGGCACGGCCATCCCCCGGGAGGTGGGAGGGTTGATTTCTCTCTGTCTCTGTCTTTCTTTCTCTGGTGAACCCACGCACACTATGGGGAAAAAAAAAAAGAAAAAAAGAGTATGCATTGTGTTTCTAAATGCACACAGAAAATGGCTGGAAGTCTGGAAAAATCCACAAAGGATGACTGGCAGCTTTCCCTGGAAAGTGGGGGCGGGGCAAGAGGGGTGGGTGTTTCCTTCGGTTTGCTCTGCAGTCCCAGGCTGTTTGCCTGTCCTAACTTGGTAAGTTAATAATATTTTGTTTTTAATTAAAACAAGTCAGCAGGGAATGTGGGCCGGCCCCAGGCTGTATAGGCTCCGCCCCCTGGGCCGGGGAGGCTTCCTGCCGGCGCTGGTGCCCACCTCCATGTTTCCAGAGCATCCGCACCATTCCCACCGGACCCCGTGCTCCTGGCCCTGCCCCTGCTGGACAGGCTAGTCAGCGGGAGCCCTGATGAACTTGACTGCCGTAGTCACGTAGTCACGAGAAGGGAGCCCCTAGCCCAGGGCCACCGAGTCAGCGGGAGGCTGTGCAGGGATGGAGACATCCTGTCCCCAACCTTCCCCTAACCCAGGCCAGTGACCCAATCCAGAGAGGGCGCCTCAGGCCTTGTCTAGACCAAGTCAGGGCCCAGAGCCCACAGCCCCCCGCTACCCATCGGGCCCACCAAGCCACGTCTCTGGGCACAGGCTCACTCCCCTCCCTGGCCCTGAGAGCAGTGACCACCACCTCAGTAGTAACGGCAGCAAGGATAAGGAAAGGAGTGGCTCCCGTTGGCTGGACGCTTCCTCCTGAGCCAAGCACTTTGCAAACACACCTCTCTGAGTCCTTCAAGTGACCTATGACAGGGCTACTCTACCCCCAATTTCCAGAGGAAGAAACCGAGGCCTGGAAAATGCACAGGTGGCAGGGCTGTGAGAGCTGGGCCCACCCACGCCAGGCACTGGTGGACGGTGACTCACCAGTTCTGATGGCCCTCCATGGCCTGGGAAGCTGGCCTCTGCTCCAGCCTGTCCTGCCCCACGGGTAGGGGTCCTGCGTATCCCCCACATTTTCGTTCCTCTGTACGCCTCTCGGTGTGTTCCCACGTTCCCCTTCCCATCGCCCTCGCTGCCACTTCAGCTCCCAATTCACAGAAACCAAAATCAGGCCCAGGGCCAGAAGCACCCGCCCAAGATTCCCCACTGAGTCGGGGCGGAGCGAGGCTGGGAGCCAGGACTGGAGACTCCTGCCTCTCTAGGGCTCCAGAATGGAAGAAGAAATACCTGTTTCCCCACAGAAGCAGCTGGGGTACACAAAGGACAGCCTCGCCTCAGACCCTTGTCCACCAGGACCCAATAGGTCTGAGCTCCTTTTCTCACCTGGGTACATGAGGTTCCAGCGGGAGCTCCACGCTCCATCTGAAGGCCTTTCCGAGGCAGAGGCCCTGCAGGACCCCCAGGCTGTGAGGCTCACTGGCTTCCCCTCTGGAAGAAGCAGGAGGACCCCAGCAAGCCTTCGGAACAGAACGGAACCAGGATGTGGCCAGGAACAGAGGCCCAGGGAGCGGCTGCACATCCAGAGCCTTCTCCATGGGCCCCCGCTCACTTCCGGGCAGCTGAAGGGCCTACAGGGCGAAGGAGGGTCTCGTCTCCTAGCTGGGAGAGCTCTCAGCACACTCGGGAGCAGCCGCCAGATCTGACAGGGGTCACCTTTGACTGCTTGGAGGAAGTGGCTGATGGCTCACTCCTGCCAGGTCATCACCCCAGAAAGACACCTAAGGCCAGCACAGCAGTAAACACCCCACCAGGGGCAGAGCCAGGACAGAGGAGCCTCTGTGATCTGGGCTCAAGGGCCCAGTGGTTGGCGTTTCCTTGGGGGATGGAGGAGGAAGAGGTGGCAGCTCCCCAGGGGGTTGAACTGGAAACTTCCAGGACCAGCACTCACCCAGGAGGCCGTGGGCAGGGGGGCAGCTGACAGGGCAAGAGCACCTCCCGCCCATCTGTCACCACCAAGGCAGAGCAGGGCAGCCGAGGGAGGGCGACCCACTGAACGGGATGGCTCCCGCGTGTCAAGTGCCAACTACCCCGGGGACAGTTCACCCTCCCTGGACTAGTACAGTCCCAGGAAACGGAGACCCAGAGAGGGGCACTCACTGGCCCCAGCAGGACGCCACAGCAGAAATGGGGTCAGAGGCCATGCAGGAGCTCAGGGCCCTCCCCCCGAGCCTGGAAGTCCCCTCTGCCCCACCTGCCAGCCTATACCCCATCCTTACCTGTCCCTGACACCCGCTGAGACCCTCACCACTGCCAGGCCCGCTGCTGTGGTCGGCTGCCAGACCATTCCCTGCTTCAGCTCCACTCTCCTCGCCCTCCCACGCTCACAGAGCCTTCTGGGCCGGTCTGGCACTGGGGGTGGGGCAGGCACAAAGGCAGTGCTGTGGGCCCAGGCGAGGTCCCCAGCCTCTCTGAGGAGGCCGGGGGCGGGAGGGAGAGTATGCCAAGTCACCGGTGTCCCCTGGCACGCCTGGCTACACGGTCTGTGGTCCACACAGCATTTTGCAAACGCAATTAAAGCAAAGCACGGATCCTGGGCGACTGTCCATCACCCATGCTGGGTGCCCGACCCCAGAACAGGAGGTCCTGGTCCTCCATTGGTCCCCTGACCCCAGATGAAGGCCGTAAGGGGTAAAGACCTCACCCCTTGGGTCTTTTGGGCTGGCACAGGGTGAGGGCCCCAGGTCCCGCTCCCTGCCCGGTCCTTCGTGTCTGGCTTCAGCTACAGCCTCGGCTCATCTGTAAAATGGGCGAACACCAGCTGCCTTCCTAGGGTGGCCGCACACCCTAACAGCTGTGGCTGTTTCCCCTTCCAGGTAAGGACAGTGAAGCTCAGTGGAGGGAGTCTCAGGCCTGAGCCTTGAGCCCAGACCACACTCAGTATTGGGCAGCATCCCTCCCAGGGCCCGCCCAGGGCTGCCCCTGCCTCCCCATCTTGCAGAAAGACCAACCTTGAAGTTCACGGGGAATTGAACTGGCAAGGTGGACTCTGATCCAAGCACCAGGGAGATAAAGTCAAGCTGAGGAATTTCCTTCCTACCCCAAGCCGTTTCCCCCAGGCCTTGGCTCACCCCCACAGGGCCAGCATAGAGGGGGGTTTGGGGTCACTTTCCTGGGCCAGAACCACCGAGGAGCCAGATCTCCCAGGAGCCTGACCTGCTGGGGAAGAGGCCCAGAATAGTGGGTTAAACACCTGAGGCCTAGCCAACTTGGGGCTGGAGGGCTGAGGGGTAGTCAGCAGGATCCACCTCAAGTCTGCAGGTGAACAGGTGATGGGACTGTGACCAGGAAGTAAGCCCCAGCCCCAGCCCAGGCACATGACCACACTAGAGACAGTGTCCAGAAAACACGTTTACCCGTACGCTCCCGACATAGCTGGGCTGTCCCAGCTCTAAGGCCCCTGGACGAGCCCCAGCTCCCGGCTGCTCCGGCCTGGGCACAGGCCTGAGCAGTGTGGCACCAGAGGCGGCAGGGGCAGGACTGGCACAAGGTCACAATGCTGGTGAGTGGGGCCATTGGCCCTGGGAACAAAAGGCCACTTAACAGACCCAGAAGTGGGATGACCCTGACACAGGGAGGAGGAGTAGAGGCACCCCCACCCCGAGTCCCCCTCAGGTCACGAGGCTCCCAATGGCACCGTGTCTCCTGGGTGGGGCAGGAAGGAACCCAAGGCCCAGCTGGCCTGTGGCAGGATCCATAAATTAAATGTGTTGGTAGAACGGGGGGCACTGGGGTAGAATGAAGGCCTGGCGAAGGCATGGTGGCCAGCCAGGCGACAGGGGCTATGCGGTCCTCCAGGATGGGTGGGCAAACACGATGGGCCTCTTCTTGGCCCAGCGGGAGAACACGGCCTTTTCCGTGATGAAGCGGTGGGCGCTGCGGGGCGCCCGCTCATGCGCCAGGTACATCTGACACTCGTCCAGCCGGCCCTTCTCGAAGTAGTGGTAAGGCACCGAGGGGTGGCTCTCCTCCCTGCAATGCGGGGACCAAGGACAGTGGGGACAGGCCTGGGAAGCCAGACCACCCCTCCCTCCACACCAGCTCTTGCCAGGCACTACAGGCCCAGAGAACCATGCCTGGTCCCAGGGGAGGCCAGAATATATAGGGAAAGGAGAAATCAGACAGCCTCCAAATCCCAGAGGCCAGGGTTTGAGCCCTAGTTCTGCCTCTTGCAAGCTGACAATTCAGGACCAGACACATGACCTATGAGCACATCTGGAAAATGGAGACAGCAGAGGTCCAAAGATGAAAATTCCAAAGTGTCCGCTGGTGTGGTCTTGTGGTGAGAGGGCCCCTCATTCCCATGGCACAGAGCCCCTGGCCCCACGTGCCAACCTACCCATTGGTACCATGCAGGCCAGCAGGCTGGCCAGGGCCATGGCAGGAGCGCTCAGTCTCCTGCCATTTCATCCACAGGCTCAAAAAACAAGTTCTAAGAGAACAGAGCAAAATATGGGGCCTTTTCTGAACAGGTTGGCTACATTAATATTGAAACACAATAATATAACAACCGAATGAAATCACCCATAACTATCTGCACCTGATGTTAAGATCATATCAAAAATAAAAACCTTGGGACCAGCAGTTAGTGTAATGACTATGTTGCTGGATTCCCACGTAGTCAACCACGGTTCGAGTCCCGAACCCGGTGGCTTAAACTCACGCCGGGTGCATGTGCGTGCGTGCCCAAAATCCTGAGAGGAGAATGGAGGAGAAGGGATTGCGGCGTGGTCATCTCCCCTGGGGGGTGATTTCTCACTTTCTGTCTCTCTGTCTCTGGCTTTCTGGAGAGCACCACGCCCTATAGCAAAAACCTCTCCAAAAAAAAAGAAAAACTTTCACATGACATATAAGTGAAAAATACAGAGGCTGGCCCCGACGTGTGGTGGGCAGTTTTGTACCCTATTCTCTCTCTAAACGTTTCAACAAACTTCTGCGGATCGTGCAATCCTCTCTCTGTTTTAACATGAGAAATGGAGGCTCCGGAAGACAGGGTGACCAGCCTGACACCAGACCGGAATGCTGGGATCGGCCTCAGAGGCCGTTCCAGAGGCTAAGCTCTTTCCTAGGACCTGGTGCCCACCGCTGTCTGTGCCTTACTCCTCCCTGCCCACAACGAAGCCCACACCCCTGTGTCCTTGCGGTTCCTAAACCCTCTGAGGCCCAGCGGGGCCAGCACTGTGCCCCTTCCCTCCCACCCGGGGCCTGGCTGGGCTGACCTGCAGTAGCTCTCGCTGACCATCCCGTACACCACGATCTCCTCACAGAGCTCCAGGGCCAGGATCATGGTGAACCAGCCAGTGCTGAGAAAGGAGCCCGACTGCCTCCTGGGGTGGGAGGGACACTGTCAGCAGGGCCCTCCCAACACCGACACCCGATTCTGAGCAGGGCCCAGGCCTCGGCTCTCCTTGGGCAGCAGCATGGCTACCCTCTAGCCGAGGGCCACCCACCACGACCTCTAGAGAGGGGACAGAGGGGGGCAGAGGTGAAGCTGGAAGCAGACCCAGGGTTTGCGGCCCTTGAGCAAACCCCCTTGCTATGGTTTGGGGGCTCTGGCCACACCCACTCCTCATCTGAGGGACCCGTCCTGTGGGGGGCAGCAGAAGGCAGCACAGCATATTGGTTATAGGAGGGGTCTGGGGCCAGCAGGTGCCTGGGAATTAGGCTGGGTTCCATAGGGCTGACTCCTCAGTTTGGGTCCCAGACCTGGGGGCTTGAAAACATGCGGGGGAGTATGTATGTGCCTCAAATCCCATGAGAATGGAGGAAAAGGGATTGCAGCATGGCCATCCATGGGGGGCGATTTCTCTTCCCCCCTTCTCTGTTGCTCTCTGGCAAGTGGACGTGTCCTACAACCACCACCACCAATGTAGGGGTTTGTCTGGAGTGGAACAGCCTTCTTCCCAAACCCTGACCCGGCTGTGAGGTGTCAGATTTGCTTACTATCTCTCTGAGCCTCATGACCTGTCTTTGAAATGGTGAAGGGGGAGCACTGTCAGCCCAGCCCCTCCTAGCTCAGGGCCACCTGCTTTGACCTTTACGGAAAGGCAAGCGCTGTTTCATTCTTACAAACTGAGCTCCTCCCAGACCCTGTGCTGGTCCTAACCCGCCACACCTGGTGCTGACATTCTCAAAGGGCAGCGGAAAACATAAAAACAAGATGATGGCAGAGGGTGACACCTGCTGCAAAGATGACAGCCGGGTAAAGAATGGCAGGGCAGGGACAGGCAGAGGGCGTTAACGGTTACGTCGCTGGACTCCCACATAGCCGACCTGAGGCTTAAACTCACCCCGAAGGCCTGTGCCGTTCCTTTGGGTAGCAGAGAGCAGTGCAGCTCTCAGCACCCCCCCACACAATGCCTCCCCGTGCTGGCCAATGCTCCCCCAACCTGAGCTTGCAAGGGCCAGACCCTGTCTCCTCACCACCTGGGACTCAAACCATGTGAAAATTCAGTGTCTGACAGTCCCTCCATCATTGCGACCCCGGGGCAGACCTCTGACGGACCAGAGGCTCCTCGGGCAGGTGGGCAGGCCCCAGGCTCACCGGTTCTTGCCCGTCTCGTCCTGGAAGATCTGGTCGCAGTAGGTCATCATGCGCTCGGTGAAGGTGTACACCTGCAGGCCCGGGTACATCCGGGTGAGCTGCAGCAGCGTGCGGTAGGTGCGACCGCCCAGCGCCCGGTCCATGTGCTTGCCCTGGCCCCACACCACGTACAGTGTGTCCCGGGCCTGCTGGAAATAGTGCGAGTAGTTGCGAAGCAGCAGCGGCACGCTCGTGTGTGAGATCACGCGCAGGGTGCTGCGCTGGCCCACATCCGCCTCGAAGCCCACGGTGGGTGCCTGGTTCATGCGGAGCACGCACTCAGCACCATCGATCTCGGCGCCTAGCCCTGAGCCCAGCATCTGGCCGGAGCTGGACACCACGGCACAGCTGCGGCACAGCTCACGGACCAGCGGCTAAAGGGGGAGGGAGGGAGAGAGGGGAGGCAGCGTGGGCACAGAGCTCCGCCTTTGCCCCTCCCCTTCAATAGCACCCACCTCACTTGGTCACCGGCTCAGCAAAGGACTGGTATTAACCCACTGCACAGAACGGCAGCTGCAGAGGCTTTCCCAAGATCACCCAGATAGCAAGTGGCAGAGCAAGGATTTTACATCCAGAGGCCCAGGCTTCCTTGTCAGTCATGTCTGTGACCCTTGTCCCTGCAGCTGCTTCTTAGGCCCTAAAAGTCCCCTACCGTGGGCTCCTTATTAAGGTGACACATGCAAATATTTACCAAACACTTAGAATGGTGCCTGGTATAGACCGGACGTCGTGCAAGTGTTTGCTGAGTAAACATGAACCTCAGCTCATCGGAACCACTCCAAGGCCACCCTCTCCCCTGCCCCAGCCCCACCCATGTTGCACCAGGTTTCTTTTCTTTTTTTTTTTTTTTAAGAACTATTCAATTTATTCATTCATCTTATTTGTCAATTTGGCCAGAAAGACACGGGGAGAGAGTGAGAAACCAAGCCACCAGGTCCAAGACTCGAACCATGGTCAGCCATGTGGGAGTCCAGGGCCCTTATCCACCACGCCACCTGCCGGCCCCACAACCTCAGTGCCCGCGACAGTTTTGGGGACCTCTGGCTCTGCCTCTTCGTAAGCCAAGACACTTCATCTCTCTGAGCCCTGAGTCCCTTGTCGGTAAAACAGAGCTGCAAATATTAATGGCATCTACTTGACCTGGTTGTGAAGATTCAATGAAAAACGCCTGGAGGAACCAAGAGCTGGTGCACAGGGGTGACAGTCTGCCAGAGCGAGGACAGGGTGCCAGGGAGTGGGGTGGAGGCTGCCATGGGTATTCTTTACAGTGGGAAAACCCCCGCCCCCGTAATCTCACGCATACTCATTTTCCCACGTGAAAGACAATAATCCCCACCGAACCTTCTTAAAGTCAGCCTAGAGAGGGCTGCAAAGGGCATTAGAGAACTTTCGGGCGAGACTGAAGCCTTCTTTATCCCTGTGTGCCTGTTAAATGAGCGTGTGCATTTGTCAAAACTTACTGAAGTGAATACTTAAAATTGGAGAATTCTGTTGTATGTAATTTATACAATAAAGGTGATTTTTAAAAAAATTTTTTTCAGAGGTTTTTGCTATAGGGCACGTGCATTCGCCAGAAAGACAGAGAGAGACAAAACAGAAAGCAGAAATCACCCTCCACCCCAGGGGGATGGCCAAGCCGCAATCCCTTCTCCTCCGTTCTCCTCTCGGGATCTTGGGCACGCATGCACACGTGCCTGGCGTGAGTTTTAAGCCACTGGGTTCGGGACGCGAACCGCAGTCGACTACGTGGGAGTCCAGCGATGTAGCCATTTCGCCAAATGCTGGTCCCTAAACTTTTTTTTTTTAATGCCTGGAGAGGGCTAGCCAGTGGCATGGTGGTTAAGACAGCTAGATCATGTTTTTGGGCACACGTCCATGCCCAAAATCCCAAGAGGAGAATGGATGATAAGGGATTGCAGAATGGCCATCCTCCTGGGGGGTGATTTCTCACCTCTCCTCACCTCTCTCTGGCAAACGCATGCTCTCTAAAGCAAAATTGCACACAAAAATAAAACGCCTGGAGACTGGCCCAGAGCAAGGGCACAGTGAGGGTGCTAGTCCTGTCTCCTTAGCCCGAGAGGCAGAACTAAACAACGTGTTGCAAAGATTCACTGGCGGGGAGGGGGCAGGGTCTCCAGGGAAGGCTTGCCCTCACCCATGCCTTTGTGCCTGGGGGAGCTCAGGATTACAGAGACATGTAAGCCATGGGACATTGATTCTGGTTAATAAAAGACACACTGCTGTACCCATGCGGGGTCAGTTCATGTCTGACATGAAGCTGATGTAAAGGCTTCTAGGCCCATTCTCCGCGCCCCACTGATAAACAATGAGACTGCTTATTGTGCCCTGGGGTGAGGCCTGCCTGCCAGTTGGGCTCTGTCCTGATTCAAGGCTACCTCTGGCCCCAGGAGGTAGTCTGCTTGTCACTCACAGGTCTTTAAAATGTTTTATTAATTCTTATTTCATAAAAACCGGTCCTTTTGACGTTCTGCACTTCCTGCTTCTCTTAGGGGAAAAAGCCAGAGGATCGATGTCCGTGAGGCTGAGTGTCTACAATGAGCGTGACTGCCACCACAATCCATGGGATGGCGTCCACTCAGCCTGCCGGACGCTCGTCCCCCCGGCCGCTGTCACGGGGCACAAGATTTGCACCTCCTGGTTGTTTCTGCCTCTTCATCAAATATCTACCCAGCCCTTGTCCGGTACACAGTCTCCAATCACCTGCTTAATCTTCACAGCAGCCCTGCAGAGGTGGAACGGCTCTGATCCTCTCTGACAGACGAGGAGGAGACAAATACACGACGAAGACCCCAAATCCGCATCCTCTAAGCCAGGGTTCCTGAGCCAGCCTCCTCCGCCAGCACTCAGAGCACTGCCAGGCTCGGGTCTGGGAGCTTTCTGCACCGAGCACCAGTACAGGACGCCTTGGAGGGCACTGGCTGGACCAGAAACCCTGTGTGTGGGGCCGTTGAAACCAGGGCGAGAGGTGCAGAGCAAGCAAGTTGGGGAGGCGGGCACCACTGGGCACCCCTGTACGCCCTCCATACGAGACAGGGCTCCAGGGTTGAACATAACTTTCAGCTGTGCCATCTCTCTGTCATCAGCAGCCACTGCACACAGGCATATGCTTGCTGCGTAGACTGCAGTGACTGAGTACAGTCTCCTACTACCTGGCCGAAGATGGCCAGGTGCCTACACCATACCATGCCAGGACCACATCTGTCTCCACTGGACTGGGAGCTCAGAGGGGCAGCACTCGGTCTGACCCACATTTTTGTCCCCAGCAGGCAAATGAGAGTCCTGAGAGTCCCCAGGGAACGTTTGCTTAATAAAAAACCCATGTCCTCGTACATATCAGGCTCAGAGAGATGAAGTGACCAATGAGCAGAGAAGTCAAACTCAGAGTTCAGGCTGGCCTGGTACAAGTCCAGTTTTCACTGACCTTAGACCTGGGGTGCCCCAGCAGCCTTGGTCAGACCTGCCCCAACACGTGGCCTGGCCAACTCACCTTCCCATCAGGCACGCTGCTGTACCCACTGAAGTGCAGGGGGCCCGGCACGGTGGGCCTGGATCCTGGAGGGAGGCGGCGGTCCAGGCAGGCGGCCCGGCAGAGGGGCAGGCAGGCCCAGCAGCACAGGAGGACAGAGGCGGCAGAGAAGATCGCGCAACACAGGACGAGGAGCAGGAGCCGGCCCTGAGGGAGACGGCAGTCATGGCGGGTGTTCCTGGGGAGGGGGACTTCTGGAAGCCTCTGCAGGGGGCTGCACCCCACCTCCTGGGTCTAGAGCCACTTCAGCAGCTGCTGGACTAGCAGCAGAATCCAGTCTCCAGTAGCTAGGCTTTCCTCAGGCAGCCAGGTTCTGGGCAAACAAGGCCCCAGAGACCAGTAACATTATCGCCATATCCTAGATAAATTAATTTGGGGGGCCAGCAGGTGGTATGGTGGTTAAGGCACTGGACTCCCACATGGTGGACTGTGGTTTGAGTCTCAGATCTGGCGGCTTGCTTTCTTACTTTCCCTTTCTCCCACTTTCTTTCTCTCTAGGTCAAATTAAAAAATAATAACAACACGGGACCAGGCGCACGCCGCG